CCAAGAGCCACGGAGCGTGAGTGAGTGTGCGCAGAGAAGTCTGACCGCTGCAGCCTCTCCATAGAGGAAGGAGTGAGAAGCTCCTAACTGCCCTGAATCCCCAGATCTGACTGCATTGAGCACTGAAACCCAGTTTAGGGCGAGCCCCTGGGGCATCCACACTCTTACACGGGGAATCTGGACTGTCAGGCGGAAACTCATGGGATCCATGGAAGACAGAGGCCTGAAGCACGCACACAAGGGCAGGACTGACAGGAAACTAATACTGGTAGCTCAGCGCTGAGACTCTGCCCCATCCAAGCTGAGCTCAGAGCCTTTTGCAGTTTTGCAAGTCTGATCCTATAAGACTACCTCCAATACAGAAGGTATCCTGGTGTAGACACAGTTGATACTCACATCCAATAGGCCAATAGGTCAATTCCTCCCAGTGATACTAACAAGCAAGACCTAACTACAACAAGGCTGTACACGCAGTACACCAAGGGGAGCACCAAGAGTGTCTACCTCAGGTAACTGGGGAAGCTGACCCACTGGGCCATATAGGACACCAAGCACACAAAGCCACCCTACCAACTCAGGGAAGCAGTGAAAATGCCGAGACAAGGAAAAGAGATCTCAAACAAAAGAAATGGAGGAGAACAAAAGACTGGATATAGAATTCAAAACCATGGTTATAAGTTTTTTCAAGAATTTCCTAGAAAAGGCTGATAAATTTAATGAGACCCTCGAGGATATGAAAAAGGACCAACTATAAATTAAACATACACTGACTGAAATAAAAAATATTATACAGAGACCCAGCAGCAGACTAGAGGAACTCAAGAATCAAGTTAAATATTTGGAATACAAAGAGGCAAAGGACACTCTTCTGGAGAAGTAAGAAGAGAATCCAGAAAGTTGAAGATAGTTTAAGAAGCCTCTGGGACAACTTCAAGCATACCAACATCAGATTTATGGGGGTGCCAGAAGAAGAGAGAGAGCAAGATATTGAAAATCTATTTGAAGAAATAATATCAGAAAACTTCCCCCACCTGGGGAAAGAAATAGACATATAAGTCCAGGAAGCACACAGAACCCCAAATAAAAGGAATCCAAAGAGGACCACACCAAGACACATAATAATTAAAAATACCAAGGGCAAAAGACAAAGAGAGAATCTTACAAGCAACAAGAGAAAAATAGTTAGTTACCTATAAGGGAGCACCCATATGACTATCAGCTAATATTTCAACAGAAACTATGCAAGCCAGATGGTAGTGGCAAGAAATATTCAAAGTGATGAATAGCAAGAACCTACAACCAAAATTACTCTATCCAGCAAAGTTATTCAGAATTAAAGGGCAGATAAATAGCGTCACAGATAAGAAAAAGCTAAAGGAGTTCATCACCACCAAATCAGTATTAATATGAAATGCTGAAAGGTATTCTTTAAGAAGAGGAAAGAAGAAAGAAAAGGTAAAGATAAAAATTATGATCAATAAATATATGTCAACAAGTGAATCTATAAAGTTAATTAAAAATCAGGAACAGAATAAACTGGTGAATATAATAGAATCAGGGGTACAAAAAGGGAGTGGATTGATAATTATTAGGGGGAAAGGAATGTTGGGGTGCAGGAAGAGACTGGATTAAAATCGTACACCTATGGATGAGGACAATGCGGGGGTGGGTGGGGAGGTAAGGGCAGAGGGTAGGGTGGGAACCTGGTGGAAGGGAACTATGGGGGGGGGAAAGGAGAAACAATTATAATAATCTGAGCAATAAAGATTTATTTAATTAAAAAAAAGGGAACCCACTGTATGAACATTTTTGCCAGTGATACAGTTGATATAAAGTTAATTTTCAAAATCTATAAAAAATTTATACAACTCAACACCAGAAAGGCAAACAACCAATTAAAAAATCCAATGGACTGCTGTGCCAGCATGGCTCAGTGATTGAGTCTTAACCCATGAAACAGGAGTTCATGGTTCAATTCCCAGTCAGGGCACATGCCTGGATTGCTTGCTCAATCCCCAGTGTGGGGTGTGCAGGAGGCAGCTAATCAATGATTCTCTCTCATCATTGGACCGGAATAGACACTTTTCCAGTGAGGACATACCATTGGCCAATAGACATGTGAAAAAATGCTCAATTCATCAGAGAGATATCAATTAAAAGTACACTATGGTATCACCTCACACCTGCCAGAATAGCTGCCATCAATAAATCAACAAACATCAAGTACTGGTGAGAATGTGGAGGGAAAGGAACCCTAATATACTGCTAGTTGGAATGCAGACTGGGGTAGCCTCTGTGGAAAACAGTTTGGATTCTCCTCAAAAAAGTTAAAAATGTAACTACCATTTAACCTAGCAATCCCACTTCTGGGAATATATTCTAAGAAACCCCAAAACACCAATCAAAGAATACATGCACCCCTATGTTCTTAGCAGCTTTATTTACAACTAGGGGCCTAGTGCATAAATTCGTGCACCTTGAAAGGAACTGTGGCCCCTCTTCCAGCTCCCCCGCCTGGCCCCTCCTGCCATGGCTCCCGGTTCCCTGTCTGCCAGCAGCCCCACTCCCACTGCTGCAGCTCCCACGTGCTGATGGCACCAGCCCCACTCACCTGCTGATGGCATGGAGCAACTGGGGCTGCTGCCAGCAGCCGGTGCAAGCAGGGCCAGTGCCATCAGCGGGTGTTAGATAGCAGGCAGGGATTAAAAAAATACAGCATAGGGAATGTAATCAATAATCTATAATAATAAAAGCATAATCGCCCTTCAGGAGCTGGGGGAGGTGGAGAAGCCCTCAGGGGTGATAGGGGCCAGCAGCCACCACTTGCACCTGCTGACAGTGCCGAGCGATTGGGGCTGGCACCAGACGCCAGCAGAGGGTGCGAGTGGCAGCTCTAGTGCCGGCATGGATGCAAGCAGGTCTGGCACTGGCAGCAGGTGCAAGCATAGGGTGGGACCGTCGTGTGCAGGAGCAAAGAATTTTCAGTAGCCACCAGAGGCTTGCCCCAATGACAGCAACCGATGCCCCACCTTAGTCCTGCATCCTCGCTCACCTGCTCCACCATCTCACTGCAACCGACGCTCACCATGTTCCGTGCTCACCCCCCTGGTGGTCAGTGCATGTAAAAGTGACCGGTTGTTTGGTTGTTCTGCTGTACTGTCTATTTGCATATACTGCATTCCAACCAGTAGTATATTAGATAGCTAGCTAAGATCTGTAAACAGCCTAAGTGCCCATCAGCAGATGAGTGGATAAAAATGCTGTGGTACATACATACCATGGAATACTATGCAGCTGTTAAAAAAGGATCTCTTACCCTTTGTGACAGCATGGAGTGACCTGGAGAGTATTATGCTAAGTAAATTAAGTCTATCAGGAACAGATAAGTATCACATGATCCCACTTATTTGTAGAATCAATGAACAAAATAAGTTCAGAGACAAGGATGCATGGAACTGACTGATAGATCTCAGAGGGGAGGGTGATGAGGGGGACTGGGAATAACATATATGTATGTATGTATGTATGTATGCATAGTCAGTGGACACATACAATAGGCCTGGGGTGGGGCGGGCATTTGGTAAAGTGGGCTGAGGGGGTAAATAGGGAACATCTGTCTGTAATACTGTCAATAATAAAACAATCTGAGCTGCACTATGGCCATTTCAAACCATTCTAAATGGATGCTGGAGTTTTCCAAAAGCAGCAAAACTCGATTCATGAACATTAATCAACTGTTTAAGTGCATACACCACATAAATACAGGGCTTGGGACACAAAACTCTTCGAAAGGCAGTAACAACAGTGATTGAGAGAACTAAAAAAATTACTTCCTGGGCACTGATCAGATTAAGAAGAGGATATGAAAGCAGGAAATTGTATTTAATGTATAAATTCCTTTGAACAGATATTACTAAAACAGAACATTTCACATTGCAAATTTAGAACCCTGCTACCCTTATTTAATTGAAGAGAGTAGATAGGATGAGAAAGAAGAGAGGGAAAAGGAAAAAGTAACTTTAGTAAAGATAGCAGGCAGGGATTAAAAAAATACAGCATAGGGAATGTAGTCAATAATCTATAATAATAAAAGCATAATACGCTAATTAGACCAGACAGCCGAACGTCTTTTGGGATGTTCTTCCGGACAAAGCTGCAGCAGCTGCAAGGCTGAGGGCAGGCAGCCACGGCTGGGTGATGAGGGCGGCGCCTTCCCCTGAGCAGCCTGGTGGTCTCCTGCAGAGGGAGGCCAGACTGCAGCTGAGGCCTGCTCCTTCAGGAGATGGGGAGTGGGCATAAGCGGTTGGTAGGATATCCCCTTAGGGTTCCTGGACTGTGAGAAGGGGCGGGCCGGGCTGTGGGCCCGCCCCCTTCCCCAGTCCATGACTTTTTGTGCACTGGGCCTCTAGTAGTGTAATAATTATGGTGTCAGATGGGTAGTAGACTTAGTGGGATGATCACTTTGTAAATTACATCAATGTCTAACCACTATGTTGTGCACATGAAACTAATATTTTATTGTATGTTAAATGTAACTGAAAATGAAATAAAAATTTAAGAAGATAGAAAGGAGATAAAAATTTGACATTGTGATAATACAGATTTAGAAATGTAAAAGCAAAAAGCAGAAGGAAGGTCAAAATATGTTTTTATTCTTTTCCATGCATCAGTAAATAACAGCTGGGTGCATTCCAAAGACTAGAACCTTGATTGTTAGTGATAAAATTCATAACAAAGAGTTTGTTTCTTCAGAGATAAGATTGTTTTTCAGAGAGTAGATTGGAATGGAAGTAGAGTTCTAAAAACAAACATATGCTTTCTGGCAAATGGGATACCTTAGATACATAATTCAAATAAAGAAATCTGTAATTCTAAAAAATAAAATAGTGTTTCTTAATCTGACCCAGAAGTGAGATGAAGCCAGCATGTTAGTCAGCTTACTGTGAGCCCTGGTCCAGGGAGTTTCGGGCTGATGTGAGCTTTTCTCTGTGCTCCTCCAGGCCAGACGGCGACTGTGTGTCTTCGCTCAATGGAGGAAACATGAAAGGATTTGAAGGAGGTTCATCTGGACACTTACCCAAATTCTGCCACGAGTGTGGGACTAAGTACCCTGTGGAATGGGCCAAGTTTTGCTGTGAATGTGGCATTCGGAGAATAGTTCTGTGAACCAAACACCAAACGAGAGCGCCAAGTCCAGAGTTTGATGACTGTTACTGCTTCCAGCCAGAGCTCCTCCTCTAGTTATTTTGTGCTAAAATTGATACTTTTCCAGCAATTTTTGGAACATAATCTTGCTATATAATGTGTGTGGTGTGTGTGTATATATGTGTACATATACTGTATATAATAAATACCTATTATTCCAAACTGTGCCAGTCAAGAAAATACTCATCTGTTGGAAAATAATTTCAAGTGGAATCATTAACCTAGGTAGTATTCCTTTTCTGTTGTTGTTAAAACACATTAAGTATAATATACAAATCCTCAAACTAGTGCTTAACCCTTCAAGCGTTAGGATGATCATTGGTGCCTATTTTCAGACAGTATCCATGATAGTTGGATGGGATGCTTGGAATTTTGGAATTGAGAATATTTTTAGTTGCAATTAGTTATGTGAGGTCATTTTTGCAGTAGTGCTCAACAATTTTATAAAATTAAAAAAAAAGACATAAGTTCTGTGTTACCCTTTACTCAGTGTACTGAGTAAATATTTAAATATTTGTACTCATGCTCTCAAAATGTAATTATGCAATTTCCTTTTTGAAGACACAAAGGTAAAAATACAAATCTTATTCTAGTTATAACTGAAATTTTTACCTGTGTCTGCATCTTCAAATTTCAGTTCTTTCTTTTCCATAACCTAAAGTCTAATGAATAGTTTCATTATAATTTTTATTAATTATTATTATGTTTAATCCTCACCCAGTTTTCCATTGATTTTTTAAAAAGAGAGACTAAAAGGAGAGGGAAGAGACAGAGAGAAACACTGACGTAAGAGAGATACTTCGTTGTTTGCCTTCTGCACATCCCAACCAGGGCCAACAGCCTGCATCTGAAGCATGTGCCTTGACTGAAATTGAATCTGGGACCCTTCAGTCCGCAGGCCGAGGCTCTACCCACTTCATCAAACTGGCTGGGAATATGGAATAGTTTTAATTTACTACTTCATTTTTGCAAAGTTTGAAAATGTAATCAAAAGATGCAAAAATTTTCTTCAAATTCTTTCATGTTTATTTCTGTGCATCAGAATGTAGAAGAAATTACTTTAGTGGATTTTAAAACAAACCACCTCACCAAATAAGTAATAATTTTGGTAATAATTATCAGTGGAGGGCATGCAGGTAACAGAATTTGAATTTTGAAGTATAGTTAGATGTAGTTATGAGGTTAAGAGAATATCTAATTTTTCCTACTCACATTTTCTTTTTAGTTTTTCATGTTGAGACACCATTCTCATCACAATAGAAAGCCTCTGAAAATACATTGCTTTAATGCATACCTGGCATGTTATTAAGCATTCACAAAAATTTAATTATACTTCTTTCCTTTGGCTAAAATATATCATATAATCATTATCACACTCAGTGTAGTAGCATCGTATGTAGTAGTAAATCTCTTTGCTTGTGTAGCCATCCATATTCAGTGATTCAGTAGTAATTTCTGTTGAATTAAGCCTAACAACTGTATTATAAATATATAATCAAATCTTTTATAGGCAATTCCTAGCTTCTTGTTTTGATTCTGTTAAACTATGAGGATCAATGTAGAAATTCATGCTTATAAATTCCACTGAAATTTATTTATGCTTATACCTTATAATTTTATTCATTAGTTCTTTTTATTCAGGCAGGGAATATAAACTTAATGTAATGGGAATTGTCATTTTACTTACATTACAGTTTCAATCCTGAATTTTCATTAATTTATTTCTGGTTGTCTTTACTCAGTTATGTTGGTCAAAAGTGTTTCATGAATCATGAAACGTGTTACAACAATACTTAAATACATTTTTATATTACTTGCATATATAATTCTCACAATGATTTGTCATGCATTAGTTTGGTTTTGAAGAAATTTTCCTAGATCTATGCATCATTTATTTATTTTCACAAGCATTTGCCAGTGGTGGAATTTAAAAGATTGTAAGCTTAAATTAAAATAGAAAAAATTTCTTACACATTATTTTTGAAGTTATTAGCCTGAAAAAAGTAAGATGATTATAATTGCTGTTGCCTCCTGTTCCTTCTATGGGTTATATTTCAAATAAGTTTTCATTTTTGCACCTATTCAATAAAGACATGAAGCAAAAAAAATGGCTATTTAGTTTTCATTGATGTCTTATCTTTCAGCCAGTCATAGGTACAAAGATAGAAACACAAAGAAATACAAAGAGAATCTTGGAAGTCAGTTTTTGTGTGCCAAAAGAAATTATTACTATTTTATTGAAGTGGTTTTGACCTCAAAGGTAAATACGTTCTGTCACAGATTAAGGCACTGAAACATTCTCTTCATAGCCAATAAAATCTAGCAATTGAAAACATTTAGTGAAGTTCAGGTTGAAATACATTATGAGTATTTCTAATTAGGTAACACACAGTCAAATGGAAAACATATTTATCTGTGATGAATACTTAGAGTCTAAGCCTCAGACCATCATGCTTAAAATTATAACAAGAGTTATCTCCAGTGAGAACATCAGATTAGACATGTTTGATTTTACTCAATTTTCCTTAGGCTAGAAGTGAATATTGTTACCATGAGTAGAGGCTCAGGGAATGGAAAAAATAATAGAAGAGGTGAGCAGAACTGTTTGCGTTGCAGGTGTAGGTATTTTATAGGGTTACGTATATTTTTATTACTGAGAGAAGATAGGCTGATTTTCCACCCAACTGAATTATTGGATAGAGCAGTGGAGAGTCATTAAAATAGTTAATGAAAGCCACACTCATTTTGAGCCTCATTTAACTTTTTTTCAATTAAATGTTACTGTTGATATTCATTGATTACATAGTTTTGCTTGGCTGTAAAACTATATGCAGATTGGTTTTTATTTTGCCACTAGGGGGTGCTTTAGGCTAATATTACCAGCAACTCTTTATTTTAAAAGCCGCTTAGGAACATGGGCATTAATTTGTGAGGATGGGGAGTATGGAATTACAGAGATTTATGAGGTTTTTGGATTTTATAACCCATCGGTTGATTTCTTAGAAACTAGTCTAGCTTATTTTGGGCACCAGCGTGCTTTTCATTGATAGAAGTATTTCATATTCATTTTAAATTTTGTTAGCAATTATATATCTCTAATGTATTACTCATGCACATTACCAAAATATTAAAGTTTAATATTTTATCTTAGTTGTACAGCAATTATAATCTTTAAGGCTTTCCCCCCAATCATCTGGCCTAACTAACATGTGACAGTAACATCAATGCAAATAGGAGGTAAAACACTTAGCCTAATGTAACATGCACAAAGCTGAAGCTTTATAAACACTTAAAATGTGCTTTATATGGTTTTCCTTCTATGAAGTATTAAGAAAAATAAGACGTGATTAATTTCTGTCTTAAAGTTGATCATTTATTTGGAGAAGCTGATAGCTAAACAACTACAATTTAGGACAAGCAAGGATTTATTTTAATAGAACTTTTCTATATTGTAAAAGCACCAAGTATTGCAGAAGTGTTGAAAATGCAGCTTTCTTGTCACAAGTTAGACAGCCAACCGTTCTGTTTTCTGTTTTTCTTCCCTGTCCCAAGTGCCCGGGAGGAGACTGGAGGGCTGTGATGAGAGCTGACGAACCAGCTTTGGAGGGAAAGGCATATGGCCGTGGGAAGGATGTGTGTGTGTTGGGTCCAGGTGAGCTGCAAAACTCAGTTGACTTCCAGTGTCCTGGTGACTCAGAACAAGTGCCGTTGCATAAAAGTTACTGATGACACGTCAGTTCCTGCCATCTCCCATAACCCTTCACTTCACCTTCCCTTTTCTCTGTTTGCCCAGGCACCTCACTTTCCCTCCTGTTGCGCATTTGCAGCAATGAGGCTGGGGATAGGAGTGCCAGTAGTGCTGAGTGTACTCCACAGAGAAGTGCTGATTTTATTCATCAGACCAGCAGTCTTATAAAGAAACTGAAAAATGCCAAGGGGCATGAAAGTGAAAGACCTTATATGCTGACAGTAGAAATTGACAATACATTTTTTAAATGGACTAAATTTACTTTAATATAAAAGCTTTACAAATATTTATGCTTCATAACCTAGTAATCCTTTATAATAAAACCCTAATATACAAATTGACCGAATGGTGGAATGACTGGTCTCTAAGATACATACTGACCACCAGGGGGCAGATGCTCAATGCAGGAGCTGCCCCCAGGTGATCAGTGTGCTCCCACATGGGGAGCACGGCTCAGCCAGAAGCCGGGCTCACAGCTGGCATGGGCAACAGTGGTAGCGGGAGCCTCTCCCACCTCCACGGCAGTGCCAAGGATGTCTGGCTGCCGACTTAGGTCCACTCCCCGCAAGCAGGCCTAAGCCATCAGACATCCCCTGAGAGGTCCCAGACTGAAAGAGGATGAAGGCTGGGCTGAGGGGACCCCCCCTCCCCCTCCCCCAAGTGCATGAATTTCATGCACCGGGCCTCTAGTCCTATATAATAAAAGGCTAATATGCAAATTGACATAATGGCAGAATGACTGGTCACTATGGCATGCACTGACCACCAGGGGGAAGATGCTCAACACAGGAGCTGCCCCCCGGTGGTCAGTGCGCTCTCACAGGGGGAGCACGGCTCAGCCAGAAGCCGGGCTCACGGCTGGTGAGCACAGCAGTGGTGGTGGGACCGCTCTTGCCTCCGTGGCAGCGCTAAGGATGTCTGACTAAGTTGTCAGTTGGACATCCCCTGAGGGGTCCTGGATTGCGAAAGGGCACAGGCTGGGCTGAAGGACCCCCCTCCCCCCACCAAGTGCACAAATGTCGTGCACTGGGCCTCCAGTTTTATTTATTTATAAGATGTACTTCTTGAGGGAATAATTGGAAGTGTGGAAAAATATTTAGCAGAACCCGTTTAATAGTACTATCATTGGCCTTGTGTACATTCTTGGTAATAAGGTATTAAAGGTTATATGTTCAGTGAAAGAGACCAAATAGTAGGGCAATATTAACAATCTCACCTTAAAAAAAATCTTGTTGGCTTACTCGTCATTAAGGAAATGCAAACTTAAATCACAATGAGATATCACCTGGTGCCTGTTAGAATGGCCATCATAAAAAAGACAAGAGGTGACTGATGCTGGCAAGGATGTGGAGAAAAGGCACCCCACATGCGGGGGCTGGTGGGACTGTACGTCGGTTCAGCCACTATGAAAAACAGTATGGAAGAGCCTCAACAATCAAAGACAAAACTACCATATGACCCAGAATCCACTTCCAGGAATGTATCCAAAGCAATAACTCAAAAAGATAACCGCACCCCATATTCATAGCAGCATTCACAATAGCCAAGGCGTGGGAAAAGTCTAAGTGTCTCTTGGTGGATGCATGGATGAAATTGTGGCCTTTTGTGTGTGTGTGTGTGTGCGTGTGTGTGTGTGTGTGTGTGTGTGTGTGTGTGTGTGTTACACAATTCAGCCATAAAAATGAGGAAATCCTACCATTTGTGGCAACATGGATGGACTTTGAAAACATTATGTTAAGTGAAATAAGACAGAGAAAGACAAATATTGTATTGATCTCACATGTGGTACCTAAAAATAAAAGCTCGTATTAAAAGACACCAGACACAGTCCTGGCTGGTTTGGTTCAGTGGATAGAGCATCGGCTTGAAGACTAAAGGGTCCTGTGTTTAATTCTGGTCAAGGGATATGCATGGGCTGTGGGCTTGATCCCCAGTAGGGGGTGTGCAGGAGGCAGCTGATCACTGATTCTCTCTCATCATTGATGTTTTTAATCTATCTCTCTCTCCCTCTCCCTTCCTCTCTGAAATCAATAAACATGTATTAAAAAGAAAGAGACACCAGACAGAGAGGATAGGGGGAGGGAGACGCTGGAGGCAGGTAGCCAAAAGGTACAAAGGTCCAGTTATAAAATAACTAAATCCCAGGGATGTGCAAACATGATGACTATAGCTAACATTGCTATATGCAACATAGGAAAATTGTTAAATTCTCATCATAAAGAGAAACTAGTTCTTTCTTTTATTTTTGTTATATGAGACTATGGATGTTAGCTGAACTTACCCTGTTAATCATTTCACAATCTATGTAAAGCAAACCGTCATGTCGGATACCTTAAACATATACAGTGACGCATGTCAAATGTTTCCCAAGAAAACTGGGGGAAAAGTTCTGTTGAGATCAAGCGAATCTGACAGTGTTAATACATAGGTCATTTATTATCAAAGGAGAAATGTTATCCAAAGTAAGTAATTTGTTCGTAATACTGTATGAAAATATTTTTATATACAGATATAGTGTCAAAATTAAATATACATACTCCATTCATTAAAAGGCAACATATATTATTCTCTTAAAAATATACTTGCCAAATGGCAAACTCATTTAGACAAGTTTTATTACACGCATATGACAGAAGAAACTCGGTACTATGGCTTAGCAGCCTTAAAACAGGTGACTTCCTATTTTGTTTTCCTTTGATGGCATTTGCTATGCCATCTACTGGAGGCAAAGTGCTACACACTCATACCTCTCTGAAGCATCTTAAGCATCCTCCTTTACGTTTCTGCTTTAAGATCCATGACTCTTGTTCGCTTGGGCATTGTCCACACCTCACTGTCAACTCTGAAATGTTTCCAGCCAGAAGATGACAGTATCCACACGCATTGCAGTATACTGATGCATAGTAGGACATAAAGAAATAAAGCAAGGCTAATTTTTAATCCTTGTAAACCTTTATACACAACAACAGATTTTACATGTCTTCTGAATGTTTCTAACAGGTCTAAAAAGGATTATTGCAGCTAATACCTTACATGGATCATCTTACAAAAATCAGCCTCAAATTAACACCAGCTGACGCATGCGCACACACATGAAATAGTCCGTTGATTGCAGCGTTCGGTTCCCATGGTTTGTGTCTGTCCAGTACCACAGCATGTATTTCTCAGCTGCTCTCACCCATTTTTACCAGACATATTCAGTAATTTCTCGGAGGCATTCTACCCCGGAAAATTGCACAAGCAGGTCGGTACTTGAGGGATTCAACTGAAGTTCACATCTTTATATTGTCACGCCAAACATTTCAATGCTCTTTAGTGCCGCTCAAAATTTTATTCCAGCAAGTTTTTATCTTTTCTAGTAGTAACATCAGGAAACACATTTCATCCTGTTTTCTCTGCCCCTTTGAAGACTTCTTCTCTTCCTACAGAAATATGCAGAAAAAGTTTTAAGTTCACATTTTTATAAAAATACATGTTTTCAAATATTCAATCTTTAATTCCCATTATCTTAGGTTCTACAAAAAATTCTGTGTCATGGGAAATGAGAATCTTGCATCATACTTTAACCCTGTGATTTCTAACTCTAGTTGGCATGATACGTAGGAAATGCAAGGTTGTTGTGGTTTAAGATTTAGAATTCATTCAAGAGCGATGCCTGCTGGCTACAACAGGACAAGAATGCTATTTAAACGTTTGTGGGGGAGATATTTGTAAATGACTCAATTAGATTTTTTAACATGGGAAAACATTTTTTTTTTTTTTCGTGGAAGGAATAGTTAGCGCTGAAAACAGGCAGCGTATTTTAGCAGAGATGATGACTAAGGATCTCCCTGAGTGAGCGTGTGCCCTAAGGTCCACCCCATCGGTCTGCACCTGCCTCATGAGCTAACTCTCATTTGTTGATGAAAATCCTAGTTTTGTGTTCAGCCTACAGAAAGCGGAGGGAGAGGCCCCTCACAGGGAAGTGATGAGCAGGGAGCAGCACACTCCCAGGAGCCCTTGGCAGTGGGGCTGGGGCAGGGCCAGGAACCTTCCTGAGACCCCAACCAGCCACTGGGTGTTTTATAGTCAGATGCTGTGCCTCACATTATTGCATTGTATCTACTTAACTCGATGAAATTGCTGATTTTGCCTCCTTTCACAGATGAGGAAACAGCTGCAAAGAGGGTAAATAAGCTGCTATGGTCACATGTCTAGTAAATATAATGATTGGATCTAGAGCTTGGTTGTCCTATTTTTAGTTAAGGCACAGATTCGGGTCTCTTTTAGTTGAATAACATTAACGCACAGCCTTGAAATAATCCATTAAAAACATTAGACAACAGATATCAAAGATAATTACGAAGGAGAATTTCTCATAGACTGTTTAGTGAGGGTCCCAGGACATATTTAAAGAGTGCGTGTTTGAGTTTATGTGACCAAGCAGATGGGAAATACACGGATGTGAGAACTTCACGACTTTTCTTCAGAGACCAAGAGTGAACATCCATTACCAAGACAAAAGCGAAGAACCATTTTATTTCTGTAATTCTGAGGACACAGATGGTATCTCCCTTCTGTATCTTCCCCAGTTTTTCTTGTCTAGTGTAGTTCTCATGCCCTTTCTTTTTAAAAAATTACATTTATTGGGGTGACATTGGTTAATAAGATTATGTAGGTTTCAAGTGTATGTTTCTATGATGCATGATCTGTACACTGCATTGCGTGCGCACCACCCATGTGTTCTTACGCAGAAGCCCTCAATGTTCTTACCCAGAAGCCCTTTTAAACTGCTCGTGTGTTCATTTCTACTCTGCGAGTGCAAGTGGGATTCCTAGGCTTCCTGAGTCCCAGGTAAGCAAGCTAGCCCCCTCTCTAAAGGGAGCAAGCAATTTCCATGTTCCCATGAACCTCTGGCTCACATGACATTATAACAATAATGGAAATATGAAAGGAGAAATCATCACTCCTAGGAACCAGGTGCTTCCATTTTTACATGTCCTTTCCTAATTAATATTGATATCAATTTAATGTGTAATCAAATTTAATTATCCTGAGTTTTTCATTCATATTTATTTTTATATTGATATTATATATAATTTTGTACAATAGTGTGTTAGTATAAATATTTATATAAGTAATATAAATATGATCTATAAATGTAGAATATTCACATACATCTATAGTATATATTATATACTTTGTGCTAATAAAATAGGTTCTCATGTTAAATTTGTATTTCTTTACTACCGAATAAGGATGGCATTTTTTTTTCCATCATATGCTTGTTTTCTAGTTTACTTTCTCCTGTATAGTTTATTCATGTTTTGTCTATTACCTAGTGATGTTTTAATTTTGTTGCTTTCTAAAAAAATCAGTGCTCTGATATTTCCTCTAGCTCCTTTTATTTTAAAATAGTGGTCTGGGTGGTGGGCACCTGGTGCCATATACAGATATTATAACATAGAAACCCACACATGAAACTCTTATATCCATATTGACCAATGCCAACCAAATAAAGTAAAAAAAATGATATAAAATAAAATTGTTGCTTTTTTTTAAAGAAGAAACAGTTTAAAGGGATGCAATTTCAAAAAGGTACCTTCTTGCTACTTTTACTAACATCATAAAATATTTTCAAAACCAATCATAAAAAAGAAAATTCAGAGAGAAACATTAAGAAATTAAATTAAATAAAAGCTGATAAAGAAAATTATACAATTATTCTCACCAAATTCTTAGTGGGTTGGACCTCACCCAGGGAAGGTTGTTTTTTTTCTTTAACCTTAAAAACAAAGTTACATTTACAACATTGAATGTTAATTCTTTATTGCTTCTCCCATTAATGTTGTTGCTAATTTTTGTATGTTACTCTTAGTTCATCTTATATTTTTGAGAGTCTACTTTAAATTATTTGTTGTTAGTACAGCAGACACTTATTTCATTAGAAGTAGAATACAGGCATACCTCGTTTTATTGTGCTTCACTTAATTGCACTCCTCATATAATTGTGTGTTTTTTTTTTTTTTTTTTTTTACAAATTGAAGGTTTGTGGGAATCCTGCATTGAGCAAGTCTATCAGCACCATTTTTCCAACATTAGTTTGCTTTGTATCTCTGTCATATTTTGGTAATTCTCTCCATATTTCAAGCTTTTCTATTATTATATTTCTTATGATGATCTGTTATCTTTGATGTTACTATTGCAATTGTTTTGGGGTGCCACAAACTGTACCCATCTAAAATGGTGAACTTGACTGATAAATACTTTGTCTTGACCAGCCATTCCTCTGTCTCACTCCCTCTCCTTGGGCCTCCTCATTCGTGAGACACAGTTAAAACCCTAACCCTACAGTGGCCTCTAAGAGTGCAAGTGAAAGGAAGAGTTGAATATCTCACTTTAAATCAAAAGACAGAAAAGAGTAAGCTTAGGAAGGAAGACTTGTCAAAAGCCAACATGGGTTGAAAGCTAGGCCTCTGGCTCCAAAGTTAGCCACATTGTGAAAGCAATGGGAATGTCCTTGAAGGAAATTAAACGTGCTTACTCCAGTGCACTGATAAATGATAAGAAAGCAAACCAGCCTTATTGCTGATCTGGAGAAGGTTTTGGTAGCTAGATAGATGATGGAGCCACAACATTCCCTCAAGCCAGAGCCTAATCCAGAGCAAGGCCCCAGCTCTTCCGTTCTGTAAAGGCTGAGCAGTGAGGAGGCTGCAGAAAGCAAGCCTGAAACTGCAGAGGCTGGTTCATGAGGCTTAAGGAAGGAGGTCTCCATAACGTAAAGGTGCAAAGCAAAGCAGCGAATGCTGGTGCAGAAGCTGCAGCAAGCTGTCCAGCAGATCTAGCTCAGATAATTAAAGAGATGTCTACATTAAACAACGGGGTTTCAATGCAGGTGAAACACCCTCATTTGGAAGAAGAAGCCACCTAGGACTTGGCACAGCTAGAGGGGAGAAGCCACTGCGTGGCCTCAGAGCTTCAAAGGTTGACTTGACTCTTGTTAGGGGCTAGTGTAGCTGTGACTTTAAGTTGAAGCCAGTGCTCAGCTTCCATTCTGAAAATCCCAGGGCCCTGAAGAATTATGTTCAATTTACTCTGCCTGTGTTCTTTAAATCAATAAAGCTGGGATGATTTGGTTTACAACATGGTTTGCTGAATATTTTAAGACAATTGTTAGGACTTACTGCTCAGAAAAAAAGATTCCTTTTGAAATATTACTCATGGACAATGCATATGGCCATCCAAGAGCTCTGATGGAACTAGACAACAAGTTTCATGTTGTTTTCATACCTGTTAACATCCATCCTGCGGTCCATGGGTCAAGGAGTAATTTCAACTTGCAAGTCTTATTATTTATGAAATACCTAGCAATTCCTCTGATGGATCTGGGCAAAGTAAATTGAAAACCTGGAAAAGGATTCACCATTCTAGATGCGAGTAAGAACATTCATGACTCATGGGACAAGATCAAAATATCGGCATTAACAGGAATTTGGAAGAAGTTGTTTCTAACCCTCACGGATGACTTTTCGGGCTGCAAGACTGCAGTGGAGGAGAGAACTGCATGTGCAGTGGGATTGGCAGGAGAACGAGAATTACAAGTGGAGCCTGAAGATGCGACTGAATTGCTGCATCTCCTGACAAAGCCTTAATGGTGAGGAGCCACCCAGGGATAAGTAACGGAATCTACTCCTGGTGGAGACGCTGTGAAGAGTGCTGACATGACAACAAAGGGCTTGGAATATGACATAAACTTGGCTGATAAAGCACCAGCAAAATCTGAGAAGACTGATTCCAATTTTGTAAGAAGCTCTCTGTGGGTGAAATGCCACCCAACAGCATCACCTGGGACAGAGGAGTCACTCAGGAAAGGAAGAGTCAATTGATGTGACAAACTTCATGGTTGTCTCATTTTAAGAAATTGCTACAGCCTCCTCAACCTACAGCAACCCCCAGCAGTCAGTAGCCATCAACATCAAGACAGGAGCCTCCAGCAGCAAAAAGATTGCCACTCAATAAGGCTCAGATGATGTTTAGCATTTTTTAGAAATAAAGTATTTTTAAATTGAGGCCTGTACACCTTTAGGCATAATGGTATTGCACACTTAATAGACTACAGTATAGTGTAAACATAACTTTTATATACATTAGGAAACAGAAAATAATTCAGTGACTCGATCTTTTGGGGTGGTCTGGAGCCGAACACACAATGTCTCCGAGGTATGCCTGTATGAGGGAGAAGGCAGAAGCATGAGAGATTATCTTCTGAATACCCTGGGTCCAGCACTGTCTTATTGGCTGTGAGGTATGAAAAAACAAATATATGGTGGGGGTGGGAAAAAGGGGCAATAGTGATATTTCCAACAATAAAGATAAATTTAAATAAATAAATAAGGTAAAAAACCTAATATAGAAGGGTATAGTAACAGAAACAAAACTAAATTATTTTTTAAATGGTATATTTTAAATATATTTTATTGATTTTTTACAGAGAGGAAGCGAGAGAGATAGAGAGCTAGAAACGTCAATGAGAGAGAAACATCGACCAGCTGCCTCCTGCTCACTCCCTACCGGGGATGTGCCCGCAACCAATGTACATGCCCTTGACCGGAATCGAACCTGGGACCTTTCAGTCCGCAGACTGATGCTCTATCCACTGAGCCAAACCGGTTTCGGCCAAAACTAGAATTTTAATCAACATGAACATAAAGTCATTAAGTTGTGAAATCCTGAGCATAAATTTTATTGTGCTTTATTTATCAGAAGCAAACTGAAATAATCAATAGTACATGCAGACCTGACTCATGAAGTAAAGTCAATGTAGCTGACTGTATTTAATATCTTACCTTATCATTTTAAGAAAAATGCAAACTGTATCAGGTTAGTTAGCTTTGTGACATAATTTTATTTAATTTCAAGAATAAATCATTTGTGTTTTCCTTCTTGACAGTTAGTTGATTTTGGAACATGGTGATTCATGCAAAGCTCAGCACATGAGAGAAGGAATTGCAAATACATAGCATACCCATAACCCCCACCCTTCCTGGGGGAAGAGGTGATATCGCTAGTTTGTCTGCAGTTTTTCAGTTGAGCCTTGACTTGAGGCTAATACACAACATGCTGTTTCCAACAGGCATCACTAAGCTATGGATGTGTAAGCAATAAGGAACCTATTGGCCATTCTTGCATTAGACTAGGGGTGTCGAACTCAATCAGAGAAGGGGCCAAAATCTAAAATCCAGCCTAAATCGTGGGCCGAATGGTTTACTGAACAGTCATAAACTGTCATTGTGATGGAAACGCAGCGGAGTGCAGTGATGACAGCGCGGTGCGGGCCACATTGCAAGGCCTGGCGGGACGGATTTGGCCCACGGGCCTTGTGTTTGACACATGTGCATTAGACAGTAGTTTGATATTATGAATAAAGATTAAGAGCTGGTAGGTTAGACCAGTGGTCAGCAAACTCATTAGTCAACAGAGCCAAATATCAATAGTACAACGATGGTATTTTGTGGAAGAGCCACACTCAAGGGGCCAAAGAGCTGCATGTGGCTCGCGAGCCGCAGTTTACTGACCACGGGTCTAGTCTATGAAGTCTTCATGAATCTTGAGTGTGGCCTTGAAGGATGTGGAAGAACAGGACAGATCAGAATTACAGAAAAGATTAACGTAAGTAAGGGGACAAACTGGGAAATAAGCTTGGCAAACCCAGGACCCCAGGAGAAGACTGGCTGGCATTGTGTACCTAACACATGATAAGGGAACTGGTTGTGTGTTATTTTTTAATACCAGTAGTGGTGGGCAAACCAGCTCGCGAGCCACATTCAAGGGGCCAAAGAGCCAAGGTCAGTAAACTGCAGCTCGCGAGCCACATGCAGCTCTTTGGCCCCTTGAGTGTGGCTCTTCCACAAAATACCACGGCCTGGGCGAGTCTATTTTGAAGAAGTGGCATTAGAAGAAGTTTAAGTTTAAAAAATGTGACTCTCAAAAAATTTCAGTCGTCGTACTATTGATGTTTGGCTCTGTTGACTGATGAGTTTGCTGACCATTACTAGGTCATCTTTGTCATCACTACCAGTAGGGCTCAAAAGCAGTCTTACCACTTGAGCTGTGGGCAACTACTGGTATTAAAAAATAACACACAACCCTTTTTTCTATCATAAAATTTTTCTTTTAGAAAAATCATAAGAAACATTTTGGCTTTGTATGGCAGCTGGCAAAATTCCTGAAGAGAGGAAACTGTAATAATAATGTAACACTTATTGAAACTTTTTTGATTCTAAGCATTTTACATGACTTATGCCATTTAATCTTAAATAGTCTATAATATATACAATATTTTTCCTTCATTTTATAGATTAAGAAACTGTTTCCAGACTCAAGATAATGTTTTCCAAATTTTTTGTTTTGTTTGCTTAACAACCGTTAGCAGGTAGTAGGAAAAAATTAGCCCTATACTTATCAAAATTATTGAAGCAAAGAAATAGAAAATTGTTGGTCATAAACACTGAGTGGCCAGATTATAATGACCAACCCCATCAGTACTTCGTTGGGCCACCTTTTGCCTTCAATACTGCGGTGATTCTTCTTGGCATTGACTCCATGAGATGTAGAAAGGTGATGCGAGGAATCTGACACCATGACTGATGAAGAGCACTGTCCAGTTCTGTGAGAGTTGATGATTGTGGAACCAGCTGCCTGATGGCTCTTCTAACTTCACCCCACAAATGCTCCATTGGGTTGAATCTGGGCCACCTAAGCAAGGTAAAGTCTCTCTCATGTCCTTGAACCCACTCCTGCACAATACGAGCACCGTGGCATGGTGCATTGTCTTGTTGGAAGAAGCCATCTCCACTGGGATATGCCATGATAGGATGAACTTGATCAGCGATGATACTTAGGTATGTTGTGCTATTCAGACGTTGTTCCACATAAATTAAAGGGCCCAAGTCATGACAGGAAAACATGCCCCACACCATCACACTGCCCCCACCAGCTTGAAGAGTTGTACTCATGCATGTAGGGTACATGCTTTCATACTGTTTCTGTTAAATTCTCACTCTGCCATCTGCATGATGCAACTGGAAACGTGATTCATTGGACCACATGACTTTTTCCCAATGCTGGACTGTCCAATCCGTGTGTTCCTGTGCGAATTGGAGACGTTTTATCTTGGTAACTGCAGACAGCAAAGGTGTTTGAACAGGCCTTTGGCTTCCATATCCCATACAATGCAGTGTCTGGCTAATTTGCCTACAAACGTCAGGTGGTCATCATAATCTGGCCACTCAGTGTATATACCCAGTGTAAATGAGAAAGATATTTGTTAAATACATTTTACCTGTTTTATTGGCTGAGTTTTTATAAATCTATACATATGTAGATTAAAAATATTAACAGGTTTTAGAGATAAAAATCTACCTATCCCATCCAACTTATCACACTAGCCTCCTTGAAAGTTGTTACGGCAATGAAATATGCATTCAATTTTACTTCCCTTTTAACAGTATTGATTTTCCCTAGGCAAGAGACAAATAGGTACTTTCAAGCTGAGATTTTCCTCTTCCAGAGGTGAGTAAATGTATTTCAACTTTAAGTTATAATAAGCACTTAGACTTTTATGATAATGGATCACTAGAGAATGATAATATCTCTAGTAAAACTATAAGGGGAGTAGTTTATATTTTTGTTCAAAGTAGAAAGTCCTCAGCTTACCTTCTTGGTGCAGTTCAACAGTTGTAACGTGCCCTGTGAAACTATTTGTAAGTGGGTCTTGAATTCCTCATGGATATTCATTCTAAGAAATTGCTTCAACTTGCGAGCAGCAGTATTTAAAAACGTAGCTTCCTGGTACAGAAAAAAATCAGAAGGCTGTGGTTCAAATAAAATATTATGAAATGAAAAGCTTTCTTACGGATCCTAACACCAGAACCCGGTTGCTAAGCAATACTCCCACCTCCACCCAGCTTTCTTTTCCAGTTAATCACATGACTGACAAGTAACTGGACTGACACTGTGGTCTAGAAGCTGACAGCCTGAAGGGCCTGGACCTCAGTTTAATGATTAGCTTTTAAAATTCTCTTTCTCTGTAATGTATGTGTGATCTTATCACTTGTGGGTGGATACATAACAAGTTTATTTAATTTTAAGCAAGATAACCAAGGGAGAGGTCTCCTGGAAGCAGCGCTAATGAAAGGTATGTGTGGCTTTCTTGTTGTTATTATGTTGTACATTTTCAGCTGTGGATGAGTAGCTGGAAAATAAAGAGTCAGATTTACCTAAAACAAATCACACTGTAATTATAGAAATTTTAAAAATAAGAATTTATGACTATAGATTATTAGATGCCATAAGGTAAGTCAACTATTATTTTTTTAAAAGACTGTTAAATAATACCACACTGGTTTTGGTGGAAAGAAATCACACAAGTGTTTGATGAAAGTTTTACACCAACTTTAAGTTGTAGTGGTGTGAAGATTAGCAAATATTAAAAGAAAACAATTTCTAAATGCCTATAACTAAATTATGCCCCAACAAGCATTTTCCTTCATAAAGATTTCAGAAATAAGAGATGTGTGTCTCTTTGAATTCAGCAGTTCTAGCATTTTATAAGTGAAAAATGAAATGCTAAATAAAGTAAACATACTTATCAAATAAGTGCAGGACTATTTGTAAAATAAGAGTATAGAAGAATACCACAGTATGACTTAATAAATCAGTGGAAATTGCCTGCTTATAGCTAAAAGAGTAAGTTATTAATTTAATCAATATAATTATCTAACAGATACAAAAGCATATAAGCTTCTATGAAATCAAGCTCGAATAACATATAAACTCCAAATAATTATCATTACCTTATCATCATCACATGAATGCTTTTTAAAAAAGTTAGGTTCATTATTCAGGCAATTGCTATCATTTTCTCTTAGCCTGTCCTGTAATAAATAATATAAAATTAAATTATTAAACTGGGGACTTTCCTAATATGGAGTAATTATAAAAATAACAGTGTTATAATACTTGTTAGTTATATGTACATTTTCAGGAAAATACTTTTAGCTTGGCTAGCTGACTAGGCAAGAATAGTTTCTATATTTGAAGAATAAACAAGTATATACACAAAGCCCACAGACACAGAGCTCCCTCCCGACTCCATAGTTTAACCTCAGGAAATCATTGACAGAATCTGGCTCATTTGGAGAAATAAAAGCACCTATTTTAGACGTTATACTATAAACAGAAGATATTATATAACTTTTGAGATCTTAAAGTTTAAATACATTTAAGAGGTTATTTGGCCCAATTTCCTGCCACTATCAAACAGTAACAAAGGGGATTTTCATTAGAATGAAGGGAAAACCTCTTGAGAGTGAGAGTAAAGTAGAAAATCATTCTGCAGCATTTTTAACAATCCAACTTATCTGGGATGTTTGAGGTGTGCATTTGCTAACAAACAATGGAATGGCATCTGTGTGTATTGTAACTATCCTATATAATAAAGAGGTAATATGCAAACTGACCATCACACCCTCACACAAGATGGCCACCCCCATGTGGTCACAAGATGGCCTCCATAAGATGGCCAGCAGGAGAGGGAGGTTGTGGGCGATCAGGCCTGCAGGGGAGGGCAGTTGAGGGGTTACCAGGCCTGGAGGGAAGGGAAGTTATGGATGACCAAATCGGCAGGGGAAGGCCATTGGGGGCAACTGGGATGGCAGTAGAGGGCAGTTGGAGTGGCCAGGCTTGCAGGGGAGGGCAGTTGAGGGTGACTGGGTCTACAGGGGAGGAAGGAAAGTTGGGGGGGAGACCAGGTCTATAGAGGATGGCAAGTTAGGAGTGACCATGCCAGCAGAGGAGAGCAGTTAGGAGCAACCAGGCCTGTAGGGGATGGCAGTTGGGGTGACTGGGCTGGCAGGAGAGCAATTAGGTATAGATCAGGCTGGCAGAGGAGTGATTAGGGGGGGATCAGGCTGTCAGGCAGAAGCAGTTAGGGGCAATTAGGCAGGCAGGCAGACAAGCAGTTGGGAGCCTACAGTCCCAGATTGTGAGAGGGATGTCTGACTGTGGGATCGGGCTCAAACCAGCAGTCAGACATCCCTGGAGGGGTCCCAGATTGGAGAGGGTGTAGGCTGGGCTGAGGGACCCCCCACCCCCCAGTGCACGAATTTCATGCACCAGGCCTCTAGTCCTTTATAATAAAACTCTAATATGCAAATTAACTGAATGGCAGAATGAGCAGTTGCTATGATTCACACTAACCACCAGAGGGCAGACGCTCAATGGAGGAGCTTCCCCCTGGTGGCCAGTGAGCTCTCACAGGGGGCGCACCACTTAGCCAGAAGCTGAGTTCACAGCTGACATAGGCAACAGTGGTAGCAGTGCTGAGTTAGGGAAACCTCAACTACAGGTGATGAATAATTGCTGAAAGCTCAGAGTGGACAAGTCTGAGAGCTAAAGACTCTAAGAAGATCCTATCATCAGGGGTAGGGTCATTTTCCTGAATTTTACCTGCAGGATTTTTATGAATTCCTCACAGTGAATATCTGAAAAAAATTGCTTTATGCTCCTGGCAGAGGGAGGAAAGAAAAACCATTCTGAAATATGCCTGAGTATTATGTTGTTTTTCTTTTCTAAATCTTTATTGTTGAAGGTATTACACATCCCTTTTTTTCACCTCTATTGACCTCTCCTGGCCTGCCCCTATTGTTTGTGTCCATGGATTATGCATATATACATACAATACATGCTTTTTGATTGGTCTCTTCCCACCCACCCACCCACCCACCCTTCACTGTCTTCCCTGAGATTAGACAGTCTGTTCTATCTTCTGTATCTCTGGATCCATTTTGTTCATCATTGTATTTGGTTCATTAGATCCCACAAATGAGTGAGATCATGTGATACTTGTCGTTCTCTGACAGGCTTATTTCTCTTAGCATAATACTCTCCAGGTCCCTTCATGCTGTCTCAAAGGGTGAGATATCCTTTTTTACTGCTGCATAGTATTCCATGGTATAGATGTACCACAGCTTTCTTATCCACTCATCTACTGATGGGCACTTTGGCTGTTTCCATATCTTAGCTATTGTACATTGTGCTGCTATGAACACAGGGGTGCATTCATTTTTTCTGATTAATGTTTCTGGTTTCTTAGGAAATACTCCTAGAAGTGGGATCACTGGATCAAATGGTATTTCCATTTTTTTTTTTTTTGAGGAAACTATACTGTTTTCCACCAGTCTGCATTACTACCAGCAGTGTACTAGGGTTCCCTTTTCCCCACATACTCTCCAGCACTTGCCATTTGTTGATTTGTTGATGGTAGTCATTCTGACAGGTGTGAGGTGATATCTCATTATCATTTTGATTTGCATCTCTCAGTGACTCTGAGCATTTTTTTTCATATGTCTCTTGGCCTTCTGTATGTCTCCTTTGGAGAAGTGTCTAGGTCTTTTGCCCAGTTTTTAATTGGATTGTTTGTCTTCTTTTTGTTAAGTTGTATGAGTTCCTTATATACTTTGGATATTAACTCTTTACCAGATGTATCATTGCCAAGTATGTTCTTCCATATAGTTGGCTCCCTTCTCATGTTGGTTTCTTTTGCTCTGAACTTTTTATTTTGATGTAGTCCCATTTGCTTATATCCTCCTTTGCCCTAGGAGATGTTATCAGCAAACATACTGCTACAACAGATATCTGAGATTTTGCTGCCTATGGTTTCTTCTAAGATTTTTATGTTATCAAGATTTACATTTTAAGTCTTTTATCCATTTTGAGTTTATTCTTATGAATGGTGTAAATTGGTGGTCTAGTTTCGTTTTTTTGTTTGTTTTGTTTGTTTGTTTTTTGCATGTACATATCCAGTTATCCCAACACCATTTATTAAAGAGACTGTCTTGACTCCATTGTCTAATATTAATTGAGAGTAATGGTTTGGGTAAATTTCTGGGGTCTCTGTTCTGTTCCATTGATCTACTGACTGTTCTTGTGAAAGTACCAGGCTGTTTTGATTATGGTAGCTTTGTAGTAAAACCCGATATCTGTTATTGTGATCCCTCCAACTTTGTTCTTCCTCAAGATTACTGCAGCTATTTTGGGGCTTTTTGGTTCCATATAAATTTTTGGAGTATTTGTTCTGGATCTCTGAAATATGTTGTTGCTTTTTAAAAGGTATTTTAATAGGGATTGCATTGAATCTATAGATTGCTTTGGGTAGTATGGACATTTTAATTATGTTAATTCTTTCAATTCATGAACACAGTATATTCTTCCATTGTTTATATCTTCTATCTCTTTCATCAACTTCCTGAAGTTTTCTGATTATAAGTCTATAACTTCTTTAAGTTTATTCCTAAGCATATTAATTTTTTCTTGCAATGATAAATGGGACTGCTTGTTTAGCTTCTCTTTCTGAGAATTCATAAAAATACCATCAATTTTGGGGTATTAATTTTATATTCTGCTACATTGCCAAGTCCTTTATTAAACCTAATAGTTTTTATTTTTATTTATTTATTTTTTGTGTGAAGTCTTTAGGGTTTTCTATGTACAGTATGATGTCATTTGGGAATAATCAGAGTTTTACTTCCTCCTTTCTAATTTGGATGCCTTTTTTTTTTTTTTTTTTTTTTTTTTTTTTTTTTTTTTTTTTTTTTTTCTTTCTTCTTTTTCTTGTGTGATCGCTGTGGCTAAGACTTCCAGTACTATGTTCACTAAGAGTGGTGAAAGCAGACATCACTGTCTTATTCCTGTTAGCGGAAATGGTTTTAGTTTTTGCCCATTGAGTATGATGTTGGCTGTAGGTTTGTCATAGATGGCCTTTATTATATTGAGATATGATCACATTATTCCCACTTTGCTAAAAGTTTTTTTTTTTTTTTTTTTTTTTTTTATCAAAAATGGGTGTTGGACTTGGCTAGCATGGCTCAGTGGTTGAGCTTTGACCTATGAACCAGGAGGTCACAGTTCGATTCCCCATCAAGAATATATATAATTTATTTATTCATGCCTAGGTTGTGAGTTTGAGTCCCAGTTTGGGGCATGCAAGAAGCATCCCATCAATGATTCTATCATCATTTAAATTTCTATCTCTCTCTCCTCCTCCTTTCCTCTCTCTGAAATCAATAAAAAACATATTATAAAAATTGGGTACTAGATTTTGTTGAATGCTTTTTCTGCATTATTGATAGGATAATGTGATTTTTCTCTTTCAATTTGTTTATGTGATGTTAAATGTTTATTGATTTGCAAATATTGTACTTGTCTTGCATTCCTGGAATCAATTTCACGTGGTCAAACTGAATGATCTTTTTAGTATATTGTTGGATCCAATTTGCTAATATTTTTTTGAGGATTTTAGCATCTATGTTCATCAGAAATATTGGCCGATAATTTTCTTTGTAATGTCTTTATCTGGTTTTGGAATTGGAAGAATGCTGGCCTCATAAAAAGAGGTTAGAAGTGTTCCTACCTCTGAGATTTTTTCTTCTTCTTGATAGTTGATTAGGATAGGTATTAGTTCTTCCCTGAATGTTTGGTAAAACTCCCACGTGAATCCATCTGGATCAGGGCTTTTGTTTGCTGGGAGTTTTCTGTTTCAATTTCATCAGTTGTGATTGGCCTACTTAGGTTTTCTGACTCCTGATTCAGTTTTGCAATATTGTATTTTTATGGGAATTTGTCCATTTTGTTCACATTGTCCAGCTTGTTGGCATCTAGTTGTTAATAGTATTTTCTTACAATCCGTTGCATTTCTGTGGTGTAGTGGTTTCTTCACCACTTTCATTTCTGATTTTATTTGGATCCTCTCTCCTTCTTGATGAGTGTGACTAAGAGTTCATCAATCTTGCTTATCTTTTCTAAGAACCAGCTCTTGGTTTCACTGATCATTTGTTTAGGTTTTTTTGTTTTTGTTTTATTTCTGTTTTTGTCTCTG